GTGGCATACTGATATATATATATAAGTTAACGTTCGACGTAATTAATATCTAACGCTCAACCTAATTAACAACTTGATACCTTTCTTATTAACTCGCTTGAGTTATCTATCGATCTATAGTTGCCAAGGGCGGAAACAATCTAAGAAGAGAGGTGTTACATCCCGAGTTGATACAAATGAATAATTTTATAAGTAAAAACGTAATTCATCCGTCAAATTAATAAAAGATGTATTATGTATATACACAAGCTCATATGACAAGTAGAAATCGTATGTCACTTATATGCGTGTGTACGTATTAGTTTTAAGGTAAATATTTTATAATATGCTGACATATAATACGACCAGCCTCGTTTTAAGAATGCATGTATGTACTAAAATTGTACGTTACATGTACGAATGCATGAATTGTATTGTATGTATAGATAAATAGTTTACTTGCGCATTGATTGTCCATTTTTAATAATGTATACTAATTTGAAAATTGTAATTAATAAATTATGTTATTGTACTCAGAATTATTTGTGAAATCCCTAATAAGATTAGTTGCGAAATTTTTAAACTTATTCGTCAAACTTTAACTTGTATTTGGCATTTCTTTTGTTGCTGATGCGAGCTTTCATTATCACTGATCCAAAAAACTCAATAACACATAACAAAAAAATACGATTGGTACTGTTGTACTGTTATTTCCTAAAACATGAAATCATAACATGAAAACATCATTGTGCAAACCTAATGTTTTGCTGGTTTTTTTCGTTGAACCTCGCTCCTTAGCGTAGTTCGATACTATTGATGTTCTTAAAGTACACCCCAGTTGCCTCAGCCAACACGTTATGCCTTGCATGTATAAGATACTCATGAGTCGCGGGAGTCAAGAGTAGACCAAAACTTAAGAGGATAGATGACAGACGTGAAAAGAGTGATTTTTTCTTCTGATGGTGCGTTTTTATAGCGTCATATCAGATAAAAGAGGGCTTTTGTTGAATTAGGTAAACCAATGAGCGATGTTGTTGTAGACTGCGTTGACATTATCGCTCTACAAGAGCATCGTTCATTGGTTGACCTAAGTTAACCAAAGGCCTCTTTTACCCGCTCTAACGCTATAAAAACGCACCATCAGAAGGAAAAATCACTCTTTTCACGTCTGTTATCTGTCTTCTAAAGTTTTGGTCCACTCTTGACTCCCACGACTCGTAAGTATTTTATACACGTAAGGCATAACGTGTTCGCTGAGGCAACTCGGGTGTATTTCAAGAATATCAATAGTATTGAACCACGCTAAGAAAAGAGGTTCAACGAAGGAGGTCCGCCGAAAGTGGTTCCGGTGATAGCAGGAAAAGCAGAAACCGCAACATCTTTTCGGCCACAAATTCATTCGTGTAGTTGAAGGAATCACACAAAATTACGGCACGAAGCATTAGAGAGCTCTAAAGCAGCAGTACTAACAGTCAGTGAAAGAATAAGTTAATTATCAGCAATATAATTAATACTAAACCTTGTTAAATAGGTCCAAGTAAATTGGATTAAAAAAAAAACTATTTTAAATCGTTTAATAAAAGAATACAATAATTAAAATTATTCATATCATTCAAATAAAAGATTTTTCCTAACTAAAAGAAACAAATTAAGCTTACGAGCCGAACCCTAAGAGACCCACGAATGACACTGAAATAAAATGGTTAAGACTATACTTTAAACAAGTCCGATCATAACACTATTATATTGAATTAACCTTATTAATAATGTAAAAAGACTTTCATTATTTCCAGGCTGTTTGTGAATTGCAAAGAAATAATTGCTTCACAGTGATCTGAATAAAATTTTACAAGAAAATGTATCTTGAAGTCGAATTTTTAGTATCGATATGGTAGGAGAAATTCAAGAAAGTATGTTATTTTGGTGAAACTAATAATACATTTTATACTATCGAAAATTTTGAGCCAATAAATTTTTTCTAGAACCATTAGAATTATTATTATTAAAAGTCAAAAATGGTTGTTCTCAGCAAAGTTTAAGACTGATTAGGAAGCTTTGAACTATTTTTTTTTTGTCTTCTTAAGGCTGTCCCATACTATTTTTTGTTTTCGGCTACAAATTTTTTTTCTTATTAAAAATCGCAAACAACGTGTCTTATGGACCTGTTACGTCGAAGACGGCGTAGGAGTAAATTTTGTATTTAGGCCTAAGCTTTTGCTCAATAGCCTGGAGATATGACAGCAAGGTTTGAAGACGAAGCACTGGGGTAGGAACAGGGTAGATGATTGTAGAAGGGTTAGCTAGCTACTTGGCCATCGGTATTTACACCCATGGCACGTAACTGGCCATTTATTTGGGAATGGTAACTTGGTTCTCTTTTAAGGAGTCTATAATCGTCTGGTTGCCGGTATTTTACTAGCGACGCACGACGTATGGTTTTAAAAATTGGGTTGGCTAACTAAGAGCCAGCTGCTTGGCCGTCGGCTTTTACACCAACCGGCACACAACGTAGCGGTACTTGATTTTTAAATAGAGGCTAGTTGCCTGGCCATCGGCATTTACACCAACCGGCACACAACGTAGCGTTATTTGAATTTAAACAAAGCTAGTTGCTTGGCCATTGGCATTTGCACCAACCAGCACACAACTTAGCCTTGTTTCCTTTAAAATATTTTTGTGAATTAAAATTTTCCTTTCACCACCTGCTTGGCCATTAATATCCGGATTGAACGACACGCAATAGTGGATCTTACGCGAAAAAGAAACAACTATTGGGGGATGTATAAGAACTTACTTTAACGGTATTATTACTTACTTTTATTATTAAGAAAAAAAATTAAAAAAGGGGGTACAAAGAGGCTCTCGAGGCAAGATCCGGGTGGCCAGATATAATTGAAATCGAAACGATGGACCGGATTCTCCAGGTCACGAGTAGACTCCGACTGGATTCTCTAGGTCGTGTATACCTACTAGTCTGGCTACTGCTCTCGGTATTTAGCCAAGCTGGCCTGACCATTGAGTGTATCGACCGGGTTGTCCAGGTCATGTGTCTATAGTCTGGCTACTGCTCTAGGTATACACCCAAGCTGGCCTGACCATTGAACAAATTTTTTGGGACCGAGCTGCTCGTGAAGGAGATCATGGGCTTATATAGCCGAAGATCTTGCCTCCTTATCATTGCCACTATGGCCAGAGACGACGAGACGCACATAGGTTCTTAGAATTAGTCTGCATCATCTCGTAGCAGGGAGAGGGAATGATTTCCTATATGCTTTCTGTCTTCCTTTACATGTGCTGTTTTGGTTTCAGGGTGATGCTTACTTGCTAAAGAATATTGTATGGTAACGATACTGGCCCCAGTACTTGCTTATCGAAATTAGGTTGTATTACAGTTTACGTTATTTTTCGGCTTGGTGTCTCTGTGTATTGTAAGTGTCAGAGAAAGAAAGTGGTAGAAGTGTGGCATACTGTTGTCAAGTCTCGTTGCATGAACGCTGGCCGATGTGTGAATCAACATCCTGGCTCGAGCGTCGGCTGATTCACTAATGGTTAAGACACAGAAGAGGAAAAGGATAGAAAATAATTATTAAGTTTTATCAGGCGATGTAAACGCATAAAGAGGGAAGGAGATGTAGACTAGTTTTTGGGTCTTTCTCTTACTCGGTCTCTCCTTATACGTGTGTCACGAAGCCTTAGCTCCGGTACTTGGTATATGTGTGAGTGTATGTCGTTTAGGTTGATACAAAAACGCGGCCTTACGAGGAAAAGAAGAGGAGAAGAGGTGGAAAAAAAGATACGTCGAGCTCAGCCTCGATGTAACAGACTTGTTTGACGGTTTTTCACATAGTTTCTGTGAAAATTTGCTCTACTAAAATATACCTAACTATTTTTGCTATTTTTTTAAAAGTATCGTTATAAAAGTGGACGAAGGATTTTTTTGAAAATATGGGGCCACTTACGCTTAAGCTTTCGGTAACCCTATAATTTCGGAGCAATAATACAATAATACGATTTTATCTATGGCTCCATTCAACTTTCTTCTGTGTAAGAGGATATGATTTTTTTGCTGGTTTATAATATTGATTAACTATAAATTTCATAATTCAAACAGTAATTATTTCTTTTTATAACTTAGTTGATATTTTTTCACTTAAAATTTTGTCGACTTCAGTCATTTTACTGATTAAATAAAACTGTTTAATTTGTAAAAACTATTATCAAAATGGTATGCTCGAGGTTCCATTTTGTTAAGAAAGTATAGACGTATATCTATTTATGTCATGCAGGCATTGTAGCAAAATGTGTATGAATATTTGACGGTTATTACTGTAGTTAAACTGGTTAATTTCTAATTTAAAATAAAAATTTAGTCCTATAAGTATACTTATCATCATACCGTATAAGGGTACTTGAAGTTTAAGGTATGAAGCTAAATAACTGACCAGATAATATTACGACCAATATCAAGAGTTTAATGCAGTCTTAATAACGCATATCATATCAATGGACCTTGCAAACAACATTTTCAAATTTATTTTTTGTGGCTAGTTTAACAAACACTCTACTAACTATGAGACTTGACATTCAAAAATTGTTTGTTACATGGAAAGAAAAATTTTACTGCATTAAGTTCCATCAACAGGGTAGTATTATTATAGTTAGATATACACTTTTAAAATATTCATTTTCATATTGAAGTTATGTATCGTATGACTATATTTTCTTCATTAAGCTTTTATTAAGTACAAAAAATGCTAAATACTAAACTGTTACAAATAAATAAAGTAGTCCTTGAATAAATTGAAGTATTTCGGAACCTCCTAACTTAGACTCTCCATAAAGTCTATCAACGAATGATATAGGAACTTCTCCAATACTGTATCCAAAGTGTTTTGCTTTAATAATCATCTCCATTTGAAAAACATATCCTTTTGATATACATGATGAAATTAAGTTCTCTAAAACTTTCTTTTTGTACAACCTGCAAAAAAAGTATATGGTATAGATAGATGACTCAACAATTATTTAGAGTTACTATTAATTTTTTTTTTATTTTTCACCATGAAGACTGTTTCAAGATCCACCCTGATATACATAATATCTTTTAAGCTATCGATAATATCAATTGAACTTTGTAACTTTAATACATAAGTAATTTAACAAGTAAATATTTTTCGACAAAAGAAGATAAAAATCATAATCCTGATATTTCAAAAAATACATTAAGTCTCATTTTGGCGTAGTCCAGTGCTCAAGGAAAAATTACAACTAACAGCATTGGACAACGTTGGAAATTTGTCCACATCTTCGAAATTTCGTCAGGAATACGAGAAAAACAGTGTTGGCAGCTTTGGTCTCATTGCAAAACATCACTTGCTTCTTGTTTAAATAACCTTTCAAATTAAAAATGTCAAATGGCACCATTTCCATGAGAAATTTTTATTTTCTGTTTGATGTAAGACATGTCATTTAGTATACATTTTAGTGTAGAATAAAAATTAAGAAAAAGATCTGTAGATACCTTCATTATTTGATGCGTTTTGATTCCTTAACTACAATAAACGAAGTTTTTTGACTTCATTTGTTACGAATTGATTTTTAATAACAATTTTTGTGTGAAAATTTTTCAAAAACTTGAGTTTAGCTCAAAAAAATTTTTTTATGTTTCTTGGCACATTTTAAACCAAAAACTAATTGGGATGTATATACATAAGCTACTTTGGTTTGAGTAAAAAAATTTTAAAGTTTGAATAAATAATGTTTTTAATACTCTCAACTATGTGTTATTCAGCTTTTAGTGCGTTATATTTTACTTACCTGTGCCTAAATCTTACCTGAAAATATGTATTTGTGAATAAAAAAAATATTTGTAACAATCTACAACTTGACAACCACAGTATTGTTAATTAATGCATTAGTCGTTTTTCTAATTCCACGTACCATTGTTCATCACTTCAGGCAAATTAAGCTACATTAGAGCAATGTAATAATTTTCGATATTTTGATGGAAAATTTTTTTTCGTTGTATTTACGTTATTTTAAACAAAAGAGTTCTTTTTACGAACGTTTCTAAACTCCGTAGATTTTACGGATGAAAATCAGAATATCTAAAATTATGACGTTGCACTAACTTAGCTCGAGTTTTTTGTGTAAAATATGCCAAGGTATACTAAAAAAAAAAAGTTTTAGTCAATAGAAATTTTTTTTTATATCGTTAAAAAAAACTGTTTTTACCAATTAATTGGCAGCAAATAAAGTTAGACATCTTTGTTAACCATATTCAGGGGATCAAAACACATCGAATAAAAAAGCTGTTTCTCTGAACGTTATCGGCCACGGACACTTACCAGTAAAACCTAACTAAATGTGACTAAATGGGTAGAAGTTATATGCGAGCAAGAACTAGAAATGTTTAAAATATATCACTGCCTATGTGACATGCTTACACAATATTTTTAAATTTTAAGGCTTATTATAATGGCTGAAAGCACGGCAAACATAAAATGTATATTATAGTAGTAAAGATATCTGGTCCCATGCATAGGCTCACATGCGGTCAGGTTTAATAAATGTATAATGTAATGTATTCTAAATTATTTAATGGAAACCTGTTACATGCATGAAAATTAATTTATGTGTATCAACTACATTTATGCCAAAGAAAGTACAATTTAATTTTACTCTGAATTATTTGCTGATATTCCTGTGATTCAAAAAACCGTAAATGTTTATAACTTGGGTCATAACAACTATTATTAAATGATTTTTTCCGCCTTCTAACCGCAAAATAGCACCTTCGCTGTTTGATTTTGAGTTTTCAAGCGGGAAAATACCATACAAAACTCGTTCGAAAAGGCTTCTTTGCGAACCTCGTTACGGCTCTCGCCTTCGGCTCGTGCCGTAAACCTCTGGGTTCGTAAACCGAAGCCTTTGCAAACTCGTACGTAATATACTATTACGGTAGTGTCTATTTAAACTAAGAATAAAGCATACGTTTATTTCAATAATTTACATTTTTAAAAAGTCGAGATACTTGCATTTGTTTACATTGAAAAATCGTTTTTTTGTAATTAAAGAATTTTAAAAAGACTTTTTTTTTATAAGTTTTTGTTTTACATCAAAATATATACTAATAATAAACAAAATATCTTGTTAAAACAAAAAAAATTTCTCCGGTAACGATGCCATCTAGCATTTTGAATTTAAAAGTTTATTTAAACAAGTACCAAGTGATATTTTGCAATGGGACGAAAAGAATTTTAGTGGTCTCTGAAAAAACTACTAATTTCCATTGTTTGGTTGAAATTTCCTCTTAAAATTACTTTTACAGTAATAAAACAATATGTAAATTGAAAATTTCATAGATAAAAAAATTGTATTTCATAAAGCATTTAAAAAAAAAAAAAAATTTTTTTTTCATAAAATTTTCTATGTGATACAAAAATTGAAATACAAGCGAAATACTAGATTTAATTTTTCAATTATTCAAACAATACAGCTAACAGTAGTAGCGTGCAAATGGTATTTTTCCCGTTTTCCTTAGAAAATTTTTAGGAAGTATGCACATTTTCAATAAACTCCAGAGTTGTCAGAAAAATAATTTGAAATTCGGCCTTCAGCACCAGAATGTGCGACAACTCTTTTACGAGCATATAAATGCGCTTAATCGATTAATCATTACAAACTACGTAAAGGAGCTGTTGATCCGTAGGATAAGAAATTGATTGAATTACAGTAAAATCTACTGCTGTTCTTCCGTTAAATAATGTTATTAGTATTAGTAACATTTTTTAATACGTCTTTTAAAAAAAAAAGTTGTCGCACATAGTTAAATCTTCAAGGAATAAACAGAGCTAAGATTTCTCAAGATTTCTTGTAATATAAAGAAGAAAAATAAATTATCAGATCACACTTTTTAAGTCCCATGTTTAATGTTTAACTTTTTGCCTTGAATTCTTCATTAATCTTACGGAGTTCACACTTTATTTCTTTTTTAAAATAAGAAGGGTGTGCGTTTACTTTTTGTTTCATTACACTGCAACTTGTTAAATAAGTTAAGAAAACTATAATATCTAATTAACCTTATTCATAATGTAAGAATACTTCCATTATTTCCAAGCTGTCCTTTAATTGTAAAGAAATAATTGTTTTACAGTGATCTTAATAAAATTTTATAAAAATTAATATCGACAAAGTAGGAGCAACTAAAGAAAGAGTAGATACTCGAAAGATGAGCGGGTAAAGAAGACGAAAAAGAAGATAATACATGGTTTCCTAATAGATAATATCTTTACAACATTGTAGTATACTAAGTTATTTTTTGTCATTAAACTGAACTTAAGAAGAAATTAATTTAAATTTAAGGAACCTTCTAATTTAAAAAGTTATTATTAATTGATATTAATGCATAAGAACTGTTCGTAATAAAGTATTATATTGTACTGTATTAGATTTCTTATACACCTATCACACAGTTTTTATGCATCCAAAATCTCTACTTTTATCTTATTTCTTTTTCCCCTTATTTCCTTTCCGAAGTTTACAAGTCTAACGTAGGGCCCTTAGTGTAAAAGTTCATCTCAAATGATTAGGTTGTACAACCGCTAGTTACTATTTATAGGATGCAACGATTGTCTCAAGTATACGCCAGCCGTTCATAGATTCAATTAAAAAATCTTTTATGTCAACTATCTAAAATCACGTTGTATGTGTAATGAAGTATTAAAAATACTCAAGTCAATTATACGAGGGCGCTCCGATAAGTACTCAGTCTCACTGCCTGATGGTGCCAATATCGCGAAAAAATACACTATAGTGTAGTACCTTCCTATAGACGGCTACTGACAAAATTGCAGTCAGATAGGAGTTATAGTTCTGTTTTGAGTACGTATAAAAGAAAGCATGTCCGTTAATTTCAGAAAAATAGATAACGAGCAATGATGGTCGGTGTTTTAATTCTAATTTTTGGAAGAAAAATTGCGCAGTTAAATCAGAGAGCGCTCAGATTCAGTGTATGGGGATGCTTCTATGGCGATCGTCAAAAATTGGGTCAACGAATTTTAACGTGGTCGCACGTCGGTTTTTGATAAGCCACACTCGAGTGTCTGGAAAACAGCAACCACGGAGGATAATGTGACAAAAATTTACGATCTCATACCAGCAGACCACAGATTAAAAGTTCGCAAGATATCTGAGACAGTAGGCATCTCGAAAGATCGCATGACGCATATCCTACACGAAATTTCGGGTATAAAAAGCTGTTAGCAAGATGGAAGCCTTGTTTGCTCACTACGGATAATAAGCGCAACTGTGTGACCACTCTAGAGCAGTATTTGGCGTTACTTAGGCGCAATCCGAAGGAGTTTTTGCGTCGTTAGGTGACCTTCGATAAAACATTGATCCACTGGTACACACCAAAGATCGAGGGACGGTCGAAACAGTGGACTTTACCAGGTTAATCTACTCCAAAGAAGACAAAGACTGTCCTATTGACTGGGAAGGTGTTGGCCACCGTTTTCTGGGATTCACGTGGTATGATATACATTTACTACCTAGAAAAAGGCAAAACAGTCATAGGGCAGTACTATGTCAGTTTATTGAGCGAATTCACCAGCAAAAAAATGACCTCATTTGACGAATAAAAAAGTGCTTTTCTACCACAACACTGCACTGACTCACACCTCCGCACTTGCCACGGCTAAATTGATAAAATCGGGCTACGAACTGCAGCCCCATACGTAGTATTTTCCAGACTTGGCCTCGTGCAACTTCTTTTAAATTTCCAACTTGAAAAAGTTACTCGGCAGACACAAATTTTAGTCGAATGAGGAAGTAATTGACACCACGGAGGTCTAATTGCAGACCTCGAGAAAACTTTTTTTTAGATGGGTTAAAGAAGTCTAAGCATCGCTGGGTCAAGTGTATCGAATTAAAGGGTAATCAAAGTAAGAAATAAATTACATTTTTTGCAAAAATTTTTCC